GAAAAAATGAAATTCAATGAAAGGGATGGGAAAGGGACAGTAAGGCTGGGGAGGAAAGGGCTAGATATGATCCTGAATGTCCTCCAGCCAGGAAATGAAATCCAGAGTAATCAATTTTAGTATGGTAGAGGAGCCTGTACAACTGTACAAGACTGATTTTAAGGCTGGAGTTCAGCTTTGAGGAAGCAGTTTTTTTTGAAGTAGAATAATTTCGTTTTCTAATGCACATTTCATTTGGTCATAATAGAGCAATATAATGATCAGGTTAACACAGCTTCTTCTGTTAGAAAGATCTGGACTTTGGTCCCTAATGGGAAGGAAGTATGAAGGCAATATTGTGAACCATTGGATATAACTTTTGAGGGATGAGTAAGGCCATTTGAAATGTGTGGGCAATTATGGAACCCATTAGGGGTGCACTGAATTATCTGCGTGCCGATAATACGGTCCCGCCGCTTCCCACTCACAGCAGGAGCTTTCACTGCTCTGCCGCCCCCTCCTTCCCGCCCAGCCTCTGTGTTCAAACAGATGTAAACAGCAGATAGTGGGCGGAAGCAATAGCCAGTAGACCCTATAGCTACAGTGTGTTATGCTTTCAAACTTAATATTAAACTCTTTAATACATCGACCAACATTTTAATTATTTAAAAATCATATATTTCAGCCATACAAAGAAAAAACCCTGCATTTAAAATATTTCACTATTCTGGGTGGAGAGGGAGCCATCTTGGGGTCTTTACCCCAATGTGTGGGCAATTATGGAACCCATTAGGGGTGCACTGAATTATCTGCGTGCCGATAATACGGTCCCTCCCCTGCCCACTCACAGCAGGAGCTTTCACTGCTCAGCCGCCCCCTCCTTCCCGCCCAGCCTCTGTGTTCAAACAGATGTAAACAGCAGATAGTGGGCGGAAGCAATAGCCAGTAGCAGGCTGACTATTGCACCCGCCTACTGCCTGCTGTCAATCAAACTCCGTTCTCTAACAGGCTCCGCCCACTGCCAACATCACTGAGCTTTACTAGCCCAGTGACGTTGGCATTGGGTGAAGCCTGCTAGAGTAATGAGTTCTCTTTCAGGTCCACTCCTCTGCTGATTGACAGCAGGCAGTGGGCGGTAGCAATAGCCAGCCAGCTATTGGCTATTGCTCCCGCCCACTTCCTGCTGTTTTACATAATTTTGGTCACATCGGCTGGACGGAAATGAGATCGTGGGGGTGGTTGATGGGAGCGCTGGCAGAGGCTAGTCAAGCATTTTCGGTAGTGGCTGGACAAATTTTTAAGTTTTGGTCTCTCCTACGAATTTTCATTTTGGTGCATCCCTAGAATTTATGGAAAATATTTTGCTGCTGGCGCCTCTTATGCCTAAGCTGGTAGATCACGAATGCCTTATAGCCAATATGTCCCTGACCATTATACATTTTATTTATTTTTAAAATGCACCTTCCCTATATCATATGCTTTCTTTCTCCCATAAATCTAACCATTGCATGAACATTTGAAACCTTGTCATGTTGTTCCATCTGCCTAAGGAAACATATGCATTCTACAGATGTGCTACTGCAGTAAAGCAAACATACAGTATGCTCTTCGGTAGTATTGTACTACAAACCAATACTTTTTTGTATTCAAACACACGGGATAGTTAAAGGGACATTAAACCCTCAGATTTTTTAACATAAACCAATACTGTAATGTGTGCCTTACTGTAATCCATGGTAGTTTCCCTTCTCTTTGCTGCTCTTTTAAAACCCTCATGTCTTCTTATGCTTGGGGAGAACTTCCCTTTGCAGCTGAGTGCCTCTTCCTGTAGTGCAGGCTCAGGTTGCAAACCTACACACAGACACCATGTAGCCATTCCAGAGACAAGGCAGTCTGCTGCAAAACAGAAATTCTACCCAGCATGAGAACAGATACAGATTTAAAAGGAAGAGCAGCAAAGAGAAGGGAAACAACCATAGATTACAGTAAGGCACACATTACAGTATCGGTTTATGTTAAAAAAAATCTGAGGGTTTAATGTCACTTTAAAACAGCATATTCTGTATCAGAAAGATATACTGTGTTGGCCATTAAAAACAACATCGTTGCTTTGAATTCAGTGCATGTCTTTGGATACAGACAGTATTTGTCTTTCAATAAAAAATGTAGCCTTTATATTAACTCTTTTTCGCTTTTCTTGTCTGGGAGGATCATACTGTACTGTATTATAACGCATGTATTGTATATTGTGTTGTCAGGCTCACATGTTTGCACACTAGAGCTCTGTCTTATTGTAAGTTCTCCTGACATAATGTATTATTTAATTAGCATCAAGTTTCCGCCGGACAAAGCAGCAGACAGCGTAAATCTCATACGAAAGAAAGTACTGCTTGTTGGATTTCCTTTACACTGCAGTGTCTGAAAGGAAGTCTTATCAATTTAGAAGGCAGCTTGCATATCAATTGATGATGAAAGCAATAGGATTTCAATGCTTCCCAGTGGTAACTGTAGACTCTATAGCTATAGTGTGCTATGCTTTCAAACGTAATATTAAACTCTTTAATACATCGAACCAAAATTTTAATTATTTAAAAATCATATATTTCAGCCATACAAAGAAAAACCCCTGCATTTGAAATATTTCACCATTCTGGGTGGAGAGGGAGCCATCTTGGGGTCTTTACAACTCTTTGGAAAAGGAGATATTCCCCCTAGCCTGGCAGGACTGTGACCTATCAAGTTCAGCTATCCAGGAAAACGTTTAGTGTCACCAGCTGAGATATGTTCTCTATGTATCCTTATTGGAGATTGCACTATATTGTAGGGCTGTTGTCAACTATTCTCATTATCGATTAGTTGGTCTAGGTCCCCTAGTTCTCTCCTCCACGCTGAGAGCCCGTGTTTCATCAGCTCTGTGTCCCCTCCGATCCCCGGCAGTGAGGAGAGCTCCACCAAACCCCCTCACCCCCGCCGTATCGGCTATACGCTGGGAGCCCGCTGCGGCCTGTGTCCCCATCAATCCCTGCTGCTCTCTCGCACCTCTATTGGCAGAGGCAGCGGGGATTGGAGGGGGCACAGAGCCAATCCGCCTGCCGGCAGACTGTCAGGAGCCCGAGCGGGGCAGTGCGGGGATGAGAGCTGCAGGATGACCAGCAAATATGTGAAATATTTTCTGATCATTCCCTTCAATATTCTAACATTGGAGTTATCACTACGATGTTTGTAAATAATTCAGGACATAGTATTATTCAGATACTGTGTCCCCAATTATGAATGAACAGGACGTGATCTACATCACTTGTTCATTCATGGTTGTGGACATAGTAAAGATATACTATCTCCTCCATTTATGAATGAACAGGAAGCCTCTGTACTGAGAGCTTCCTGTTCATTGAGTGCTGGGTGTGCAGATAAAGAGATTGAGAACTCTGTGCCCTCAATCTCTTTTTTAAAAAAAAAAATTATTTCAAAAGGGAAATATCAGGGGTCAGTTTAAACCCCTGATATTTCCCCAAAGCCCCCAACCGTAAACTAAAAATAACATATTTTAAAAATTATAAAATAGTAAAAATGTTGAAGAATGAAAGCCGCCCTCCCCCCAATTATTAAAAATAAAAGTGGGAAAAAAGTAATTTTTGGTTTTGGCCTGACAAATTCCAGTGCGGGAGGTGTGTTGCGGTGCTATTAATCCCAAACGTGCCTCCCGCCTGCAGTGCGATCAACGCGCAATACCGCAATGCCATGTGTTTCAGTGTGCTGCGATTGCAAAAAATTGTGCATGCAGTTTTTTTTTTAAATAAACATTAACTAATTACAATCCATTTTATGTATTTTATTTAAAATTTTTAAGGATGGTATTTAAGATTTTTTTAAAATCCGATTAAAGGAGAACTATGAGACGAGTGAAAATCACTCAGCCTCATAGTTCTAGCCGACCTGTGACAATGAAACTGTCACAGGTCGGCTCAATAGATCGGAAAGTGAGCGAACACACAGCGTCGCTCGCTCACTTTTCGAGCTATCCCTGCAGAGAGCCTTGACTGTCACTCACGGCTCCCTGCAGGGATTCCCCCCCTCCCCTGTCCGATCCTTCAGCGCAGACTGGCGGAACAGACGGGAGGGGGCTGGCACAGCTGGCTCTGCCTCTGGGGAGGCAGAGCCAGCTGTCAATCCCGCCCCTGGGTGGATATCAACAGTAATGTCGGGATCTGTCCCGGCTGCGGCGTCACAGTATACCGCGAGCTGCAGCTCGCGGTATACTGAGCTTAGGTTGACGGGAGGACACTAGTTTGTGTCCTCCCGTTACCCTTAGGAGAACTATGGGGAAAAGCCCTGACACCATAGTTCTCCTTTTAATCGAAAAAATTATTGGACAACTAATCGGTTATGAAAATAATCATTAGTTGCAGCCCTACTATATTTATTGCTCTTGGCACAGAAATGCAATGCAACGCCCCTGAGGCCTCACTCACACTTGAGTATTACTTGCATTTTTGTGTAATTTTTTTAAGCATTTTTCAGGTGCTCCCATTGCCTATTGTGGCCAAAATGCTCGACTCTGCTCCAAAAGAAGCTCATGTACTTTTTTGAGCTACAGGCATTTTTCTACAAGTGACAGAACACTCAGGGTTAAACAGGGGCCATTGAAAACAATAGGATTCCTCCTGTTGCGCATTGTAGCACTTAGGCATTTGAGCTACAAAACACTTAGGTGTAAATGGGGCCCTACAGAGTTCTCCATTAGAAAATCCAGAAAATATAAAAAAACATGTACTCTAGCAGGTATCATTGGCCAGTAAAGTCATACACAGTCTTTTTAGAGCCATGCCTGCAAGATCAGGTGATTATTTTTTTTTTTTTTTTTTTTTTGTCATGGTCCTTGGAATCTGGAAAGATCAGAGTGAAATCAAGCTCTGCCTGCACACCATTAAAAATGTGAAAATTAGAAAATTATTGTCAACGTTCCAGTGACGTTTTTTAATGCCATATAATCATTTTCAGATTGTCTCATTTTCTTATAGGTGAGAGGATATCCCGCTTCATCCAAGGATGCCGCTTGTTAAAAGAAACATCGATCCCAGGCATCTGTGCCACACTGCTCTTCCAAGGGGGATCAAGAATGAACTGGAATGTGTAACAAATATCTCTTTGGCAAATATTATTCGACAACTAAGTAGTCTGAGTAAGTATTTTCTCTTTTCTTTGAAACACATTTGCAGTATTCTGTGTAGAGTATTTTTACAAGACCCACAATCTTCGGATTCGGGGAAGACTTTAAATTCCTGTTAGATTCTCATTTCTGTATGTGACCTCATTGGGGAGATTTTATTTAATTCTGTGCAATAAAAACCCGATAGTCCCTTCTTGGCACTATCCAAAACGAAAAGAAAAATTTGGCTGCTATTTTGCTTTAACTTAGAGAAATCTCAAGAAAGAAAAATATACAGTATAGGCTGCTATTATTTACCTACTTCCAAATAAGCTGATTACCTTGCTACTACTATGCTATTTTTTTTTTTTCTGGTTCAGCCCGAGAAACCTTCTCAATTTTCCTATCCATGCTAAATGTGGAATCTCCTGCTGCTGCTTATTGTATTCAATAACTGAACGGTGACTGTAGCTAATTGCCTGTTGGACAATGACTGCAGCCAATTTTCTGCTCACCTACTTTCATTTTTCTGTTGTATTTTGTTGAGCCTGTTGGGGAAAACAGGGCCACCCACAGCTCGAATTTTGCCGGATTGGAGAGAATTGGCCCAACTTCGAGCTGCGTATGGCCAGCTTTAGGCTTCAGTGATTTGAGTCACTACCCTGGAAAGTGTATAGCTTTAAGGGTTTACGTCTTCTCTTTGGCACTCATTTGCTACATCCTTGTTAAGGCTGAATGGCTTAAAAGTATAGAAGCCAGAGACACCCAGGCAGACAGCATTTTTTGAGGAAGGTCTATGACAGCTCCCATATTTCTCTGACAGTTGTTTAAGGGCTTCTTTTACATCTTAACAGTGCGTTAACACACATTATGTCTCATGTTGGCGTATGTTGCATTAAAGCAGCCCAGCGACGCAACGCTGCAACGTACATGCATTCGGAAAGGTGATGGGGTGCCACTCGGTCATGACCTGCTGCCTAGCCAATCAGGAAGCCGGGAGGCAACTCATGACCCACCACCCGGCCTCCTGATTGGCCGGGAAGCCGGCTCCATGCTCAGTTGGGGCACTGTCTGGCAGAGGGAATCTCCCTCTGATCGGAATTTCCGGTAGTGGAGTAAGTACAAATACTCGCCCAAATGCTCAGTATTGGCACCGATACCAGTATCGGTGCACCCTTGGTTTCCATTGATATATACAAAAATATATTTATACTTTATAATGCAAAAAAGCTTTATTTCAAAGTAACAGTTGGTAATCAGACTCATTAAACTGAAACATAACATGAATGAATGTCAGACGCTTTACATGCACAATTGCACATCTTAAGTGCAATCTATTTTTTCCTGAATGCTCCACAAAGAGCATCCCAACATTTATCACTAGGGCAGGTGTCCCATTTTTCCTGATCTTCCTCCTATTCCTGTTCCAAGGACAACCATAACATTTTGGTTTTACTGGATTGTGAATTAAAGCGTCACACAAGTTAATAGTCCAGTACTATTAAATTAAATGTGGCACTTCAGTTCACAATCCTGCAATTTGACACCACAAACCAAGGAGACAGTGGAGATCCTTTGGAATGTAGAAGCTGCCTGTCCAGTATTCAGATCACCTCTACTGACTATTTGACATCTTAATTGCCAGCCACACCAATAGGACAAACCTTGCCAGTCCAGCACGTTTATTCCACTTCTTTCCAGTAGTTTGGCTTTCCTATCACTGAGGGTGAAATTCCCCAGCAGGGACAAAGATGGGAGTAAACACCTGACATGGGTTCTAATGCACCAATACCGATACTGAGTATTTGGGCGAGTACTCGTACTAGCCCAATTGCTCCTGATACTTATCACGATACCAGAACTTCCGGTATCGGGAAGCAGGGCGGCGAGTCATTAGACGCCGCCCGGCTTCCTTATTGGCCGGGAAGCTGGCTCCAAGCTCCCTTGTCACCGGCCAATCAGGAAGCCAGACGCCATGTAATGACTCGCTGTCCGGCTTTCTTATTGGTCCACTTTAAATATGTTGCCTGCTATGCGTGAGCCATTCCAGCACACCCACATGAAAAATGTGCAGTGTACTTGCCATGTTACCCTCCTGCCATGACAGTACTAGGTGTGTGTTCTGCTATCACTGCTGCTCAGACAGTCTCCACAACAATGCAGAAAGCCATTGGAGTGACAGTGCAGCTGCCTCCCGCAGCATCACTTCCCCCTAGCAACCGGTGATTCAGTCTCTGCCTCAACCCCACCCACCGCTCGTCACACCTCTGCCACTGCGCCTGTGCACAGCCTTGCACTACCTCCACAGAAAGGAAGAGAATCGGCTCACTGCACATGCGCAGCATTTGGCTGAGATCAGCAACAAAAGCAGCGACCTGATTGGCCAGAAAGCCGGCTCCACCTGGTGACGAGGGAGCATGGAGCCAGCGTCGTGGCTAATCAGGTAGTCGGGCAACGAGTCATTACACGCTGCCTGGCTTCCTTAATGTGACTTTGGTATTCAGTATCTGCGAGTACAAAAAAATAATAATCTGCTATTCCTGAAAAAGAAACAACTTTTTTGGCTATAGCTACGCTTTAAACCATTGCTAATTAGCAAGGTTCCTACCTGGACCTGGTCTGTAAATCATCACCTGTTAGCCGCACAGAAGACAGGTTAAAAAAAAAAAGAAGCTTGCTCTAGAAGATGTATTCCTCTTTGGTAATCTGGCAATAAACATCAGAGAACATGGCGTATTTTGCACAGCTTCAGACCTAAACAGGAACGCTCTAGTCACACAAGGACTCCTGATTAGGCAACTGGGGAAGGGAGGGGTAGTGTGGTGCATACACTGTGGACAGTTAAGCGATGGCTTATCTCAGGGGATACGATATCATTAGGGCAAAACCTGTTCTAGAATAGCTGATTCAGGATCATGAGTCATCTCATGTCCATGAGCACCTTTAGTGTGTAGCAGAAATAATCATAAAAAAACTGCCTTGGCTGTGGAAAGAGAGCTGGTCTTGTGTACAGGCTGCATGCAAATGTACTTTATACTCAGCAGAGACAAATAACTGCAAATAAAAGTCAGACTCCTTCACAGTTTGACTTTGTATAAAGGTTATTGTGATTTATGGGATAGCAAATGTTGTTTACTGGTTCAGAAAGAGATTCTAAAACAGTCATTTTATGTGCACAGGTAATTAAAGTAACTGATGGTAAATTTGGTGATAACCTACATCCTATATTTGTTTTAACTAGGTGCTACCGACACTATAATTTTGGCCTTCAGACACACACTTAAGTAGTTTGCCTCCAATGTGCTAGAACTCCAAAACATTAACTCTATTGACAGAAGGATTTGTGTAGGGCTGCAGCTAACGATTATTTTCATAATCGATTAGTTAGCCGATTATTGAGTTCGATTAATCGACTAATCGGATTTTTTAAAAAAAGGGTTCAGTGATGGACTACTAGTTTCTATTGAGATTGTAGTCCATCACGGGAGCAAGCTTGGCGCGGTGGAAGTAAAAAAAAAAAAGAGTGTGGTGTGCAATATAGTACATTATACAGCGGCGCAGTGCAGAATACCAGCAGCTATAGAGGAATGTAGCAATAGTACATTATACTATAATGTACTATTGCTGGGATTTGTAGTCCTCTGTAGCTGGGGTTATTTTACATTGCACTTTATATATTGTATTATTGCTGGGATTTGTTGTTCCTCTATAGCTGCTGGTGTTCTCCAGTGTGTCACTGTATTATACAATGCAGAACACCATGCACAATACAATGCAATGCAGAAAACCAATGTATAATACACCGGCACACTGCACAACATTAGCAGCTATAGAGGAACAACAAATCCCAGCAATAATACATTATACAGGCTGTTTAATGTATTCTTGCAGGGATTTGGTGTTCCTCTATAGCTACTAATGTTCTGCAGTGTGCCGTTTTAAAAAAAAAACACAACACACAGGAAACATTAAAAAGCTCCCGGCCGATCTCGACTTACCTTGAATGACGGTGTTGTCGGCGGGCAGCGGCGTTGTTCGTTCTCGGCGGGCAGCGGCAAGTTGGGAAGCTCACCGGGAGGAGAGGGCCAGACGCATGTCCTCAGCGTGGCGCGGCGTCGCGTGACACCAGCGTAGGCGCGAGGCGTGACGTGGGCGTGGCGTAAGCGGCGGGCGTAAGCAGCGTGCGTGAGCGGGAAATTTGAATTTTAGCCGACGAATCGACGATGGAAAACGTTGGCAACGTTTTCCATCGTCGATTTTAATCGACTTAATCGAATAATTGTTGCAGCTCTAGATTTGTGCACAAGGATCGGGTCAGCAGATTCAAGGAGAACCCTTCTGTGGGAGAGATATGTGTACACATATAATACCTTACCGTGTCACATTCCCCCCACCGACCAGCATGCAATTTAAAATGTTTCTATCAAAAAATGTTGATGTTCACCAATGTCCTCACTGGGTCTGCTTGCTGCTTTTTTCTCTGAGTTTGGTGGGAGTGGCTGGCAGGCTCCTGTAAACGTTTAGATGTACCTGCTACTCCCTGCTGGCCACTGGAGGGGTTCGGGGGGAAATTTAATGATGGAGTGCATTCAAAAAGGAAAGGGAGGTGGGCTCAAGATAGTTGCTGCTGCTTCAAAGGGTTAAATTGTGGAGATGCATGCTTACAGGGAATTGAGAGTATTTAGTTTTAGCACAGGAGAGGACTTGCTACAAGTGAGGGCAGAAAGGTAAGGCTGGGGTTTAGCATAACATTAAGCTGGCCATAGACAAATGGTGACTTTTATTCAAGTCAGCTGTTTTCACCCAGTTCAGACTCATAACTATAGACAGAGAGAGAGAGAGAAGGTGGCCATAGTCTTGCGATGGTTGTAAAGTAATTTAAATAACGGGCTTCCAATGACCGCAATGCTGAACGGGCAGTGTGCACGTGTGCACACCGGCCCGTTCGGCATTTGTCTCCCGAGCATCATTCAAACCAGCCGAAAATCGTAAGATTTTCAGCTGGTTTTCTAGCATGCTCCTTAGACAAAAGACATGCGACTGTACAGTAGAAACGGTTGCACGCCTTCATTCACACTGCACGATTCTCGTACGATCGTGGGATTTCCCGCGATTCTCGTACGAGAATCGTGCAGTGTATGGGCACCTAGAGAGAGACAGACACCTGCTTTGAGGAGTGAGGGGTATTATTCTCTATATTGGTTAGAAAATGGATTGCAGTCTTGATCCCCTTAAGCATTGATGATGCCTGCACAGCCAGATGCCTCCCTGCATTTGTGGGTACCTTTATGCTGGTCATATAGAGTGCAATTTTCTATCAAATTCTTTGCAAAAACAATTGAAACGATCAAGACAAACTACCATGTCAGTTGCAGTGACCAGATGAAATTGTGTGTGTATATATTGCACACATCACTATATATATATAACTGAATCTAATCTCAGTTTTATTTAGGTTCCTCATAGTAGACCGGGAAAGTATCATGTGAAGGTGAAATTCCTAATGGACTGACATTGTGTGCTGGACACACTATGCATTTAATTTACGGGTGTATTTTTCCATTTTATTCATGCTATTCTAAATGTATATCTGATTGTACAGACAAGGCAGCAAATAATGCATATGAAGCTGAAATTGTTAGTAATATTTTGTTCATCTTTAAAATGTTACTACATTGATTATATATGTTTGCATTCACCAAGAGTTCACCATATTTGGAGTGTCTTGAATGGAGCAGTGACATGTAGCCACTTTAAAAGCCAGACCATAATAATTTCTGTGCTTTAAGGTTAATTCTTTAGGTGACTTCAAGATTGGTCTTGTCTTAAAAATGATTTGCCAGTACCTGCTTGATGAGACACTTGGTTACTTGGTTATGTCTATGCGCAATGAAGGGATGGCTGAGAAGCAAATTTTCCAACAATTTAAAAAAATTTCTTTTGCTGAAAACTGTGTTTTGAATTGTGCAAAACTGGGCTCGTACAATACCTAATGTTTGCTTGAATTGATCACGTGAATATTGATATTGACTATAATGGGGGGGATTCAGTAGGGTTGCCAAATTTCCATAGTTCAGAGCTGGCACCATGGCCCAAAGTCAGAGGACAGCTCACCATTTGTTAATAAACATAATAAACAAGCCCTGGTGCTGGAGAAAAGCGAACATCAGAATGGGGCTGAACTCTGGAGATTGGAGCAGGAGCTGACATTCTACGGCTGTTCATGCATATGCCACTTCCCATTACTGTTTTGAGTTTAAGTAGAACGATGCCAAAGCATTTTTGAATAAAGTCGGAAATGGGAAAACTACCTGTCAGCTTTTACCATTTGCATTTCACTGGGTAGAGATACCCCTTAGCCCCCTGTACAGTGTGGGAAATTCCCTTTTAATACAGTTGTCGCATGACCAAGTGTTCCCATTAAAGGTTTCCCCTTGATTCCTGTTCTGGTAACAACTCAGAATTTTGGGTTTTCCCTCATTTTCAGTCTAAATTGTTACCAGGATGAGTGAATCTCCCAAACAAGGACATAAAAACCTGGCAGGGGCTTAAAGACAAAATCCATAAAAAAATAAGCACACAAAGTGTTTTTTTTGCATTTCAGCCAGTAAAGCTCTGCAACCGCATTCACTGGATTCTGAGTACAATGCTCTGGCTCCTGCAAATTGTTCCTTTATTCCCTGTCCATACTGAGGTATAAACTTTCAGTTCAGTTTCAAAAACGGGTGGAGGTATGAAGTGAACTACAAGAGGGATGACGTTACTAGAAGTGCCTTTGCTGCAGCAGCGGATGGGAATTTTAGTTTCTCCATTCATAGACCGCATCATAAAACAGCTGTAGGAGGATAGGAACACTTTGAAGCTAGATTGAGAGTTTGTTTAGTAATGTCTAGAGCAGTGCTTCTTAAAGTGTGGGTCGCGATCCCATATGGGGTCCCGCAAGTGAACAGGGGGGATTGCGATCTGAATTCCCGTCCAAGGCCGCCATCAGGGGGGTACAGCCAGTACTTGTGTGAGGGACCCAGGCGGCCCGAGGAGGCCTAGGCTCTAAGCAAGATTTTTTTTATTTTTGTTTAATGTGCAGTGTAGTTGTTAAGGGCCCCCCCTGTGCACTTGGTACCTTCCTGAGCACGTGCACGCAGGATGGTTTTTTTCGTTTTTTTCCCATTGACAGAACTTTCTTTAACCCAGCAGAAGTGGAGCACAGCTGCTGGAGGTAAAGGTAAGGAGTCTAGAGCAGGGTTGCCCATTAGCTAGATCGTGATCTACAAGTAGCTCTCAAAGCTAATGCTGGTAGATCACGAAGGGTGTGAATGGTGGCCCCTCTATTCCATTTTGGTATATTTATTTAGCTGTGCACACACGATTACCTATTAGCTTGAGTCTGCTGAGCCAAGCTCCCTGACACCTTTCTGGTGGATACTGGTAGTTGAAGTGCTGTGTATTCCATCAAATAATAATAGTTTACATAGCCTGTTGCACTGCACTGTTTGCAAAATACAGCGAGGTGACCCAGGAGAGAGAGCGGGGAGAGACGGTCAGGAGAGAGAGGAAAGACAGCCAGGGGAGAGAGAGCGAGGAGAGACGGCCAGGGGAGAGAGAGTGAGGAGAGACAGCCAGGAGAGAGAGAGAGAGCGAGGGTTTTTTTTTTTTCGTTGGTAGATCTTATGTAGCTCGTCATTAGAAAGTAGATCTTAAGACAAAAATTGTGGGCACCCCTGGTCTAGAGTATTGATGAACCTGGAGTTCTCCCAAGCCCACTTAAAGCTGTGACTGCCACACCCCTCTCCCATTGCAACCAGATGCTTGAGGCGTATTCTCCACCTCCCAGTTCTACATCACAAAGGGGTGGGGAATGCCCCTGCCGCCACTGATTGGGCTGGCTGGGTGGCAGTCACAGTTTTAAGCAGGCTTGGTCGAACTGGGTTCGCACCAAGCCCAGGCATATCACTAGTATAGAGCTACTCATGATCCAAAGCTGAGATTTTTGGAGCTAAGGACTTGTTTAACCTTCGGAACACGCCTGTAGCTGGACCTCTTTAATACACTTTAGGGTCAGAGCTGACGGTTAAGGAGCACTGCTAAATCTAGTACATGCTCTGCCTAGAGTATGAGGGTTTTTGGACTGGATTATGTAGATAAGATATTTTATAGAAGCATCTCTCCATATTATAACATGGAGGGGTCCAAAGCAAACAGGGTTTCTATTTTTTCTGTAAATACAGTGATTGTTTAATATTGAAATATTTGTGAATTGCTGTTCTAATAATCTAACTTTGTTGTGTTTAAGGTAAATATGCAGAAGACATATTCGGGGAACTGTTCAACGAGGCTCACAGCTTTTCCTTTAGAGTGAACTCATTACAAGAACGCGTTGACCGGTTATCTGTCAGTGTAACACAGCTTGATCCTAAAGAGGAGGAACGTAAGTTTTCTAACCCATGCTCCGTTTTCTTTCTGTTACTGTAACCAGTGCAATTCTGGCATCAGTTTGCTAATTTTAGTACAGAAAATTCACACACTCTGGGCTTACACTGGAAAGCAGAGATAATTCACTTGACAAGCCAACACAGCTGGACAATTGTATGCTGCCATTGTCTGATGTCAGCACATGAAATAGGTCATCTTGAGTTCCAAATTCCGCTGCAGTTTATTAAACAATGCATTAAAGTGACATTCCATGCCTTGTGAAAAAATAAATAAAAAAATACAAATCCTTTATTTTCAGTGCTTGTAGGTGGGCACAGGTAGATTGCGGTGTGGCTTCTTCTAACGAAGGATATCGGGAGTATACAACAGAAAGGGAATAGTTTAGTGTTAGGTGTTACCTTAGGTACAGGTACATCTGTCATGAGAGAAGTATGGGAGATGCCATTGCTGGCTTCTGTGTGAAAATGATGGGCTGCCTCTTTGTCTCTGGTTTCAGTACTTGGAACCATCATGTTGTCAATGAGTTGAGAAAAATGTCTAAATGTACTTTCTATACTTGCTCCAGGTCAATGATTTGGTATCATTCTTCAAAGGATGGGTCAGCGAAGACTGATCACATTATCTTATGACAGGTGTGCTTGAAGGTTGGGTATTGTCGGGCATTATGTTTTTTACTTTTCAGGTTTGGGGTTAAGGTTCTAACTAGGTGTTACCTTAAAGTGGGACTATTAGCAACATCAACAATGACATGTGTGATGCAGTCAGTCACTAGCATTAACACAATTTTTTTTTTTTTTTCAAGTTCCGTATTTTTATTACCTAGATTAGATCTGTTATTTCTCCACTTCCTGTAAAAGTAGATTTTTTTATCCTGTAATAGGGTGACCACGTGTTTTTCCTGAAGTGAAATTGCGCTGTAGCATTGTCGCCCTGTGGTTAAGTTATATTGACTTTTAAATGGACTTGAAGTAAAAGACAAATCAAATCCCATTCCAGCTTACATTCTTTAATCAGTTACAGCAACATTGTTTTTGGTTTTATTTAATAAAAAATTGATATCCAAATAAAAAGGGTGCCTTTTTTTTCTATCCCTGTCAGTATAATATGGTTTCTCCCAACCACTCCAACTGCCTCTTTTGATAGCTAGCTTGGCTTGTTGCAGGAACTAAAATATTGTTCTGTTAGCAGAATCAAAAGGTAGTTAAACTCTGTTAGAAGGGGTTCAAAAACAAAAACTGGTGTGTAAATGTTCTTGACAGACTGCGTCATATTTGTAATTTTCCATTTTCCTATAGTTCCACTTTAAGGTTTAGATTAAGCTTTAGGTTTGATGGAATGGGAAGGTTGTGAATTAAGACATTATTTTAGGGCATGGTTAGGTTTTAAGTGTCATCGGATTGCTTTAGTGTAAGGGATATATATTTTGTTTATTAAATCACAGTGGAGCTTTAGGTTCCTAACTCAATGGCATTAGCCTCATGGCAAAAGCTGCCAGCACTGGATTTCTGGGGCTAAGAACAGATGTATTGCAAAGAAATACCTTGCCATCTATGTTAAACAATATTTTTATTGTTTTATAGTATAGTAGTATACTAATTTAGAACAAGCACAGTAAAATTCCCTTTTCATTTTGGGCTGTCCATCGTGGGTGGTTTTAATTTGCAGGGGTGTAATTTTACAGTGCATGGTTGTTAGTGTAAATTGTGCATACAATCTTTGCCTCCAGTGAGACAAATTCTATGCTCCTCACCACTAATGACCTGATGGCTAATAATACATGCAATAGAACATGAGAGTTTGTATCCTTTATTGCAAGCAGCAGCTTCCTCCCTAGTAGATTTTTTGTATTAAAAGATTTCAAGTTAAGGATTTAGGAGATTAATTGTTTAAAGATCTGCGGGTGCATGGACAGCCAGATTATTTTATCCCAGCTACATATGCTGGGTCATACAATAGACAGAAGCCAGTGGACTGAATAATTTTGAAGACTAAATGAATAGGAGCTTGCAGAAATAAAATTATACCCAGGAATCGGTAAAGCCATTTAATAGCATTAAAAGTGGCCTCACAGCAAGCACTCCTTGATGCCTGTTGTTGGGTATTGAATTGACATTTCACTGAGTGCTAGTGTGTATTGAGCCAAGCTGCTCAGTACTCCATACCTCTCTTTATAGCATCTCTTTGTCTGCACACCGTGCAGTGTAACATAATATGCAGAGTGTAGCACCTGTGGATGTTCAAACCACAGACCCTGTTTACTTGGTCTTTCAACCAGGAGAACATCTGAACACTGGTACAAAAGCTAGGTTTATGCATCTAGCTCCTGTGTATATAAAAGGGACTCCTACTATTGTGCCAGAATTTCAAAACTGGTGATTAAAACAGTTGGCCAGTTGATATGTAGATATTTGTGAGTAATAATATACCAGAGATCCTTACCTCAATTTGGATTTTTATGGATCTGCTCACCCAGCCTTAGTAATTTCTAAAGATGGTTAAACAGATGAGCACAAATCTAAGCGTAAGCCAGGTTACACATTTTAAGTACTCATAGACATCCATGGATCAGTGGTGTGCTTTGGTTTTCTCATCTCTACCTATTGGACTCGATCATTATCAGTATCCTTAGATCAAAGCTAATTTGCTCGATGAACAAGTACAGCATAGTGCAGAATATGAAGTTTGTGATTCTATTGTTCTGTGTGTGGAAAACAAGCAGTTGGAATGTAAAAGTCATTATTTGACTAAGGGCAAAGGGTAGGAACCATAGTTCACATCTATTAATCCAGCATTAAAAAACATAAGCAGCATTGTCACTATCAATCTTAACATTTTTATTAGGTAAAAATGAAACTTAAAAAACCCCCAAAACTAGCCTTTCTGGCACTTAGTCCATCCCTAGCTGAGAGTTGAACTTTGTCCCCAGCTTCTGAAAACACAAGCTTTTTACAGGGCACCACCACACAGTATCCCTTTTGCAGTTCTCTTGTTTTATGGAACAGTAAAGAGGAGCAGTTTAAGTTGCTGCAGTGAAGTATTAAAATAAATATCTCAGACTGAGCATGACACCACCAGAGCAGTGAAACAAGACAAGTGAGAGCCAGTGGCTGGGTCTGGCTTTAATCTCCATTCAGGAATAGAAACAGATCAGAAGGCTTTTGCCAGTATGAATATGATCACTAAGCAACGTAGGGTTCTATCACCACATATGGGCCTTCAATTTATAGAACACCGGGTTGATGATCCACATCAAAACGAGAACATGAATGTGTAATCTGCATAAAGAAAACGAGCAAATGGCTTCAACCCACACCACCCTCACTAGCAGAATTGATATTACCCAATGCTGTGCTCATGGACAAGTTATATTCTACTCAACAAATAGATGCACATACAAAAATCTTTATTAAAAGGAGAACTATGAGGTGAGTGCTTTTCACTCACCTCATAGTTCTAGCCGACCTGTGACCATGAGACTGTCACTGGTCAGCTCAGTAGATCGGGAGGTGAGCGAACACATACCAGGTTCGCTCGCCTCTCGATCCTGTCACGGCTCTCTGCCGTGGCAGGGGGAGGGGCTGGATTCCCCTCTACCCACACCGATCTGCCTGCGCTGACTGGTGGAACGGACGGGGGAGGGGGCGGGTACAGCTGGCTCTGCCTCTAGATAGGCAGAGCCAGCTGTCACTCATGCAGCTGGGCTGATCCCGTCATCTAAGTCGTGATCCGCTTCGGCTGCGGCGTCTCAGTATACCGCGAGCTGTAGCTGTAGCTCGCGGTATACTGAGCTTAGGGTAACGGGAGGACGCTAGTTTGTGTCCTCCCGTTACCCTAAGGAGAACTATGGGGAAAAACACTGACCCCATAGTTCTCCTTTTAAGATACGGTTAAACTTTATTATAGCACAATCTATAGCAGGATACCTAAGGGATATTGTGACAATGTTTAGATAAACAGTAAACTTCCCATTATCTGGCATTAATGCAATCGGCATTCTCAAGCAACCAGCAAAAAAAAAAAACAATAATATGTCCTGGATTTTTTTTGCCGGTTGCTTGATAGACATTCACACACTAAAAAAATTTGTTAGCAACTAAATTTGTTTAGTTGCTAACAAAATTATCTGTTTACATCTTACTGGCGGCTAAATTCCACAGCTGAATTTAAACAACGGGGAGCAATAGCCAGCCTGCTATTGGCTATTTCAAACTGCAATACCCAAAAGCAGGCTGGCTTTTGGACCCACCCACTGAGCAGAGAAGCAGACCTGAGAGCGTAATTCTCAAGCAACTAGAAACTACAGTTATCCGGTATCTACCTGATTTTTTTTTTTTAAAGATTAAAACGGCATGATTTAGTGATAGAGTAAATGTGAGGGGAAAAGGAGAGGTCAGTCAAAAAATACACCAATGCAACGTGCCTGCAGAGTGGAGGAAATGGTAACTCCATCGACCTGAAGAGAGATGGACATGGGGGTAACCTTAGAGGGATGAAACACGAGGAGTTCGGTCTTAGAGAGGTTCAGTTTGAGGAAGCCGGTATTCATCCACTTTGAAATCAGTTAAAAGAGCTAACAGATTGGGGGAAAGATCTGGGGAGGAGAGGTAGATCTGAGTATCATCAGCATAGAGGTGGTAATGAAAGCCGTATGATGAGATAAGGTTACCCAGAAAGGCATTGTAGAGTGAGAATAGAAGAGGACACAGTACAGAACCTTGTGGGACTCGACAGAGAGAGGTAAAGGAGAGAAGGTGGAACCAGAGAAGGAAACGCTGAAGGAATGGTCAGATAAATGGGATGAGAACCAGGCGAGAGCTGTGTCATTGATGCCAAGGTTTGCGGAGGAGGAGTAGGAGCAGCGGGTGGTCAACAGTGTCAAAAGTAGCAGTAAGGTCGAGAGGCATAAGAAGTGAATAATGTTCTTTTAGATTTGGCTGTCACTAGGTTGTAGTCATTAACAGAGTTCATTAAAGTAACATATAGCGATAAATACGA